TCAAACCTTAACCGAATAATTCAAATCAACGTCGACTGAGTATGCTTTGCTGCAACAAATCCACAACAGAAAAGTCAATACACATAGGTAGAATACCACTTTAACTGACATAAATTTAATGAAAGTGTAAACAGTAGTTTTTATGCGTAGTTTACGAGCAAAACAGTAAATCTGTCTCAACGAGGGATCATACCACTGTCGTTTATAGATATCGCGCGATATGTTTTGTCTTGTTTGGTCGTGTCGCTGTGCCAAAAACAAGGTCAAACACGTTTTTCCGAGTGTGCTCATATATTTGTACATCTTTTCTCTTAAAAAGATCAGAAAATTCATCGTGCAACATTTTTAAAGCTACGTCCTTTTATTTATGATTGCGTATGTCAGTTTTTTCCTTTTTGTACACATTTTGTGTCCTCACGTGAGCACGAATTCACTTTGATATTCACCTATATTTTCACTTCTTTCTTTCCTGTGGCGACTAAAAACAAGGAATACAATGAATAGAAATTTTCATCGTACGCATTTTGCGTTGTTTTGTACTATTTGGCTCGTTATATTGAAGAAAGGTGACCAGATGCTCATGGACTAAGCAAGCTATCAGAAGTATTTGCCAACAGTAGGCTCGTCGCTTTTAAACTGCCGGCTGATCATGTCTTAGAACCACCACTATCTCGGTAGCCAGAGAGTGAGCTGTAGCAGTAAATAAATATCTGAAACGAATAGATCGTCTTGTCTTCCACATTGGTGTTGACTTCATTCGTTTCACTGGATATGGCCTAGCTGATGGCTCACGGTCACACGCCTGCACCAAATCATGAGTGAGTATATCCCTCGCAACTGCTAGCCAGCTTCGGCCAAACGCTTCTCGAAATGTGTCTTCCAACCTATTCATTTTTGACTTCTGGTTTGACTGGTTTGTTGTTCTTTGATTATTAAGGTGTCACAGGTTAAGGTGTTGTCAAACTCCGATTACCTGTGGTATCTTTAATCCCCTAGGCTCGAAAAATTCCTTTTGGAATAGAAAGTTGTCACAGGTTCCATTACGTTCTTTAAAAGAAAGCTGGACGTAAGCTGAAAGCTAGTGCTACTGAGATAATTTATCGTAGTTGTTTACTCTGAATGTTTACTATTATTTATTGCAGACGTCGCTCAGTATATTGCGTCGAAGTAGCCAGTTCATATCTTAAAAAGGATGATAACATGTTCGAGTGTATGTATTGTGTGAGAAGTATAATACTAATGGGTCATTCCAACTTTTCCAATGATGGACGGTTACTATAAACCTTTCCCCCTTGTCTAACCTCAGAATGCAAGGTGACCTTGTATTGGTGTGGAAGATTATAATTTTGAGGTAATGATTCTACCTTTCCGTCCATAGCGACAGTCTTATGCAACCCATAGGCAGTGTAGCACGTTATTTCTACTGAGTGTAGTTTGAACGTTTGCACGCTATTTAAAAGGGAAGTGGTATTGTTTCTTGTTGAGTTAAATTAACTGTTTTTATCGTAAATTACGCATCAAAACTACTGTTTACACTTTAACTGAATCTTTTCCAGTTAAATTGATATTGTATTGAGTGTCTTGATTGTGCTTTTGTGTACTTAATGCATCAAAGCATACTTGGTCGACTTTGGCTTTGTATGTTTTGTTGCTTGAGCAAAACATTACTCATCCAGGAAGCAATTAGCCTCCTGGCGTTGGCTAATAAGGTTGACGAGGGCTGTGCTGGTGACATGGGTACTGATCGTAAAGATTGCGTCGGTGCCGTAAGTACTGTCACGGCACAATTCAGATATCTAACTGTGCAGCCCTCAATTGAACCTTCCACCCCAAAATAATCAATGAGGGGCATAACGTTAGATATTGGTGGCCAAGTTGCTACACCAGCGACCGGTAATCCAAACAAAACAATGTAAATAATACCACTGATGGAAAATGAATGACGCGGAAACGCAGAAAAGTAGGAAATATAGCTACAACTGATCTTTGTTTATGTTAGGGGTGCAGAGAAATATACCAATAATTATCGTGTTAAGTCTAATGGTGTCCTTGGACATTAAATGGACATTTCCATTGGTCGATATTCATTTCACTTGTCAAATATTGTACAATTGTTTTCTATTTTAAGGCACGATGTGGACTGGTTGGTTGGTACATAAATAGAGTATGTCTGAAATATAATGATTCATATCTCAGAGGCTGTGACTTGCGTTCTGGACTCAACTGGCTGGGCTAGACAGGGAAGCGGGACCAATCGAGACTCTAGGCCGTTCATTAAGTGTTTTACGTGTCACTGTAATCGATCAATAATACGCTGTCCATTTAACCTGCAATCCACACGTTACAACAGTTTACTTGATAAGTCCTTGGTGAACTCAAAGACTACTCTACGAAAGTCCCAAAGTAAAGCCTCGTCAAATATTGTTGTGAGTCACTAGCTCGACTCTCATGACTCTGTTACGATAAAAACTAATCGTAAGATGGCAGTAGTTAATATTAAGGGTCTAACGTCACGATCGAAAGCCATGAACACGATTTCAAAAGAAGCTAAACTACTTCCCAGTTTAATTATTTGGAATCCAGAGGAGTTGAAAGACAATGACCCTGCTAAAAAACATGCACACGCTCCGCAATTAGTGGAATCTGTGATAATAAATGTACTACCTGAAGAGGTTTCAGGGGTACATAACATCAAAGTAATACGACTCGGAAAGTGGGTCGGAGGTGAGACCCCAACAAGAAGGATCTTCAAGCTTGAGGATCGTATCAAGTGGAAGAATGCGCTTACGGAGTTAAGAACTAGCAAGTAAATGGCGAAATTAACCTTACCAGCAATGGTTTTCGGGTAGTTAGGTCTTGAAAGCCAAAGCTTCCGAGACATGTATGGATAGAATGAATGATTCCGCAAACACCTTAAGTGTGTGATACACGAACGCTCGTAGTCTTAGAAATAAAACGTCCGAGCTAGTTTTGATGGTGGATGAATTAAATTCCGATATATTTGTCGTCACAGAAACTTGGCTCACCCTAGATATAGACTGTCCTCTTATCACTCTAGGATATATCCGTACTAGAAGTGATAGATTCATAAGTCGCAAGGGAGGAGACATGATGTTATATGTCAGGGATCACTTTCGTATACAATTAATCATATCGGAGGCTCATGTTAGTGGTACATATAAAATAGAATGTAGCACAATTAGATCTGGACACAGATTAGTGACTATAGGAGGAATATACCGCAGTCCGTGCTGTCTTGTTGACGACTTTATCTTAAGACACATTTGTCTTTGGAATAAGACAGAAAGCTGTCACATCATTAGATATTTCGGCGAACCGCATATCAACTGGATAGAGCTTACAGCTTCAGATGGGGGTTTTGATAGTGACCTTCTACCAACCATTCATCAGTGTGCACCTGTAAAGTGTGTCGCAAAACCGACACATGCTGACTTGGAGCATGATCCGTCACAGTTGGACCTTGTCCTTGCACACGACCGTGAGTATGTTATTGACACCCGGCACTTTCCCCCACTAGCGAGTAGCGATCACACCGTACTTTAATTTAAGTTTCGGACACACGGTATACAATATGTATCTGCTCCACCCTGTCCCAATATCCGGCGAACATCCCAACAATAAGAGAATGTGCTACCTCGACAGAATGATCGGTCGGTGTGGATGAATCAATCAAAGACGAATGACATACGTTAAAGGCCACATTCGAATCCGAAACATCACCGTACATCTCATGAACACCATGTAGGCTAGGACATTACCCTTCATGGATTAATAAGAAAGTCCAAGAGCTTCTAAAACGTAAGAAACATTTCTTGGACTTTTTCTTGTCAACGGGACACGAATCATTTAAGTGTGAATACCAAAACGTTTGGGATATATGTAAAAAGATCACAGCTAGATGACATACTATTTACGAAAGACAGATGAAATATGATAGCCGTACTTGTCCAAAACGATTGTTTTAGTATGTTAAACGGAGAATAAAACGTAGTGATGGTATTCCCTCATTGCTGTTACACGAAAATTCACATTTACTAGCTGAATCAGGTCGGGCAATAGCTGAGACGTTTTCAAACTGTTTTAGCGAAAACTACTCTACGTTTATTGTGACGAATTCTTGTACCAATCACACCGATATCAGCCATTGAATCTGTACAGGTGACTGAGAAAACTGTCCTTCCGTTGATAACCAGCCTCAAATCTTGTAAGATATCAGGCCCTGACGGGTTACATCCGCGGCTGCTGTCATCTCTTGCGGATATTATTTCAAAACCGCTCGCGACACTCTTCAACATGTCCCTTTCACGACTTGAAGAGAACAACGCATTGCAACGCCGCCGCCGCCAAATTTTTTCGTGCGTTATGGTCAATTCGCCGAGCGTTCAAATGCTTTGACGAGAAAATGTTTTGAATTTCATATTCCACCTATGTAAGACCACACTTAGAGTAATGTATCCAAGCAACTGGCCCATGTCTGGTAAAGGATACTAACTCACTTGGGCGTGTTCAGCATGTAGGAACAAAATTAGTGAATGGTCTTTCTAAACTCCCTTACGATGAGGGTTTAAAACGCCTAAACCTTTTCCCCTTGTCGTGTCATAGGACACGAGATGACCTTATATTGGCATTTCGTATCTTTAATTATGATTTAGGTGTTAATATGTCTCATCATTTCGCTCTTTCTAGCACTAATAATCTCGGAAGTCATAGCAAACGTGTTCACGAATGGCGATCGAATAAACTTAAAGTGATGTTCGGTTTTTCTCAGCAAGTGGTCAATGACTGGAACGCCTTGGCCGAATACGTGGTACCGGCTCCATTGGTTAACATTTTCAAGGAGAAGCTGAACCTTCGCTGGAAGACAAACTGTCAGGATTAACACAGGTTAACCAACCTACTATCCATGATACTGATGTATGATGTGGGAAGTTTTTTAAACATTGAATGCCGTATGTAGCCCAATCTAAGGCGCTTGTTTAATGCGTCTTCATATGAGCTCTCTAAAACTTCTGTTTGTTGTAGTGGTATGTGGGTTTACTAGTTCGTGTACAGCTCAGAGGTAATGATATGTATATATATAACAATATTTTTAAGTCTGATTCATAAGGATAACTACATCTATTTTAATGTATCTGGTTGCTTGGCATTCTTTGCTCGTTCGATATCCGTAAAATTCGTTAGCGGTAAAGCAGCCAGTATCGTCCCTATACCGGCAAGTTCATTGTCACTTTCTCCACTCAGTAAATGCTCTGATCTAAAATCGTTGCTCGTTTTCACATCATCAAATGTTAGTGAAATCTCCGACCTTAATGTCAGGTAAACAAACTAATACATATTTGATAATATTTAACAGCTTGGGTTTTATCAAGTCTGGTCGTTATTGGAGTGTGTCTGAATCATCCGTTAGTATCAAGTGTCAATCGGGTTCCAAATCATGCGTCAATGTAGCTGGAAATCCCTTGGTTATGAAATGGGCTGGAGCCCCTATCAATCTTGGTTACAAGTGCACTAAGCCTTCAGCTGCACCAGTAATCTTACCGTCAGATTCTGGGAATTCAGTTTCTCTTCAGTTTGCTAGCATCCAGGTAAGTAATATTTTCGTTGTTTTTCTCCATAATGATATTCTTATCAAAATTTAACAAATGCGATGTCTTCTCGACTAACGAAAAACCTACCATCGAGTTGATAACAACTGTATTGATCGATTATATTCTACTGACAATGATACAGTTACCACTCTCCACTATTTTACTGTATAGGAATTTAGGAAGCCGGGTCCAGGTTCATACCTTCGATTATTATTCACATATTTCTTTGGAGATAGGAGGTTGATTCTTATTTTCCTGATCTGTTTGTACCACGTCTAATTTCTTTTGTTCAACCGTACTTTGAATACTCAGAATACTTTCAGCCTGCATAAACCTACCGTGTTTTGATCTTAACGAGAAAATATCTCTTTTTTGGTCACTTGAGGGCAGCTGAAATCGATAATTAAGTTTCTTGGCCTTGTCTGTGTATTACAACACGAATCTGTCATCGTGTGTTAGAAATGTGTTCATTTCATTATACTTCCAGTCGGGACCTAATTATCATCGTGATGGGGATTGTCATGATCCTATATAAGCAGAAAAATATGACTCAATATTTTCTATTTACTTAAGTGGTGTAATTTGGGTTTATAGTTTGTAACATGCGTTTAGTAAGTTTCAGGTGGAATATTTTATCGAATGGTTTCTTGTGCTATGGGTCCCGAACTAAACCTTATCAACTCATTTAGCAGGCATTGTATGATGGTGGTTGGAGGTAATCTACAGGAAACCCTCTACCATCTTACATCAACTAGGTACACGTGATATCGAGTCACCTAGGCTAGTGGTTATATTGTAACTTGATCATTGTGATTCGATTTTCGCTAAGAAGGATGTGATACACATGACATTAGTTAATACCTAGTCGTAAACTTAGCTACAAGCCCAATACATGTATGACATAGCAATACTGTCCGTTTCCCAAAACCAAAGTAAATTTGACGGGGTTATAACCTGACTCTTACTGGAAATTGAACGCCCAGGGTTATTACTATAAAGTCTGATTCTGTTTAGTGTTTCCAATCGATCTGTAATTAAAACTCTGAAATACTACGTCTGTATCTTATCTGTTAGTCCACAACAACGATCCATCTAATCTCATCCGGAGACCCTGACATTTCTAATCTGCCTTGATGTCTCGCTAAACAATAACAAGAAACTGTAGTTGCCTGTCGTTAGATTACTCAATTCCGCAGTGTCCAGATAGCCTGTACTTAAATGCTTGATATTATTTCCGACATGGTTATTCACTATAGTCACCTACATTTTTTGTTTTAGGTTCAACCATTCGGCGTAAAAGATGGTGTGTTTGGTGATGTCACAGATTGTGTCGGGTACTTCAGTATTGGTGTTTGGTCATCGCTGATTGTTTCCATTCTTTTGGTTTCTATTTTAACATATGGTTTAGTTATGTTGGCATCTGTACAGCCTAGTGAAATATATGAAGATCCTAAAAAGAAAATGATTCAGCTGGGTGCTGATAACTAAAAAAACACAAGTTTTGTTCAAAGGGTGATAAATATTTATCTAATATAGATTTTGGTTCTGTGTTTTCAAGCATAATCCCTTTTGTATTTACATACAAAACTAGATATTCTTCTTGATTTTCTTTTTCTCTCAATAATGTTGCTGTGTTGTGTACAAGTCATATATTTATTAAAGCTCCATTTTGTCTTCTATTTATTTCTCACTGTTGATTGATCAGAAATATAAAAGAATCGAGTCAATTTATAATTTTTATCCAAACATCTTATAATTATCCTTATCAAATAGCCTTTCCGACCTCAATAGTATTAGCATAGTTTATTAATGCATCATACGCGGTGATTTGATGGTTAAAATGCTTGGCTAATAACCATTAGGCTTAAGGTTTGATTAGACTCAAACGAGAGTTAGTGGTTACAAAGTCAGCTGGAAATAGTTTGATGGATGACCGCGATTTCCATTTGTACTTTTAAAGCATTGTAGTCTTCATGTGTTTATTAAATGGACAAGTGTGTTGGTGTTGTCTACGTACCCTTTACCTTAATAGGTTTTTGAAGGGCGAAGTTGCCTAGTCAGTAATTAAGTTATTTGTAAAGTTAATTTGCGGATGTGTGATTGGTCACATCTGAAGTACCGAGCTCCGAAGGTGTCGACTACCCCAAGGAAAGTTATTTGGATAATTCCATAACATTTTGATTTCGTTTCATCGACCTTGGTTTCAAAGTCAAATGTGATCAATAATTGGTGAGACGTGGTTTGTAGGTTTGTACTTGCATCATTTATTTTAAGAGTTGAGATACCTTGGTAGTTAGAATTATTGTCGCTAATCAACCCGTAGGAGGACGTTGACGGGCGGTGAAGGTTAGCGTACTAGTTATTAAAGCCATAAGGTAAAATAATACTTGGTTTACGAAAACTGATTACCTCAAAGAACTAGGCAAGCATAATACTAGGTTTATAATAGTGCTTATGGGGTTTTAGTTACAGTCAGATTTGTAACCAGTACTGCGACACTAGGTGACAGGTTCGAAGCACATATTTACAAATAAACCTTATTGATCACCACGTAACTCTAGTCAAGTAGTGCTTCCTTTCGGTTGCCACCATCTGCTTAATATCTTCATTCGCTGAAGCAAATTGAGGTTCTTTGATATTTTAAATCCAAATTAGTTATTAGCTGAACTGAAACATTCTTAGAGTTCAGTCTTTGTTCACACATGTGTAGTAACCTACTTTAATCAAGAGAACGCGATTAGTTTAATAGAAACAATTATTGCTATGACCAATTATACCAGTGATTGTTTTACTGTACTTGCTTGTTTAACTGTACTAAAGACATTCTTCCTTCCGTTGGTTGTGACGTTGCACGAAGTCGGTATTCTTTCGATACCACTAGATCGCCAGCAAATATATCTGGACTACAGCCATCAACTGCCTTCTGATATTTGTTTTACGGGGGATCTTATCGGTTAAGCGGCACGTAGTCTTTCTGTAGACATAGTCAACCGCGACTCGACAGCACACAACACATGTATGCGTACATGGATATAAACAGCAAGATGATTAGTGATATTGTCTTCTCATTCAGAAACACCTTTCAAGATGTTGTAATATTCATCCGATTCAAGAATGTCAACTACATTTTTTTTAGTCATAGAGACAATGAATTCTTTTTTTTGTTTGTTTATTTTCTTCTCGTTATTGATTAAGTTTGTTTCTGTAGGCTAGAATTGTGGAATTTTTAATTTTCATTGGTTTATTCACTCCACAATCTTTTATAGGGATAAATAAACATATATTCCCAATCAATTTAATTGGTCAATTCTATAAAATAGACACAGGTATAACCTGTCATTTTTATATCTGTCTAGTCTACTAATAATTTTACATACTTCTCTACTTGTGAATCAAATTTTCATCCTAATAGGATAACTTTGTGGTTTATTTGTATTAGTATATGATATTAAACATTAAAACACACAACTATTTCTTGGTTCTATATATGATGATAAAGTCTATGACAAAACCCTTTTTTGATATTCACTTCCAAATGATAAAACGGATCATTTATTCAATGTAATCATAATTTTTGTTTTTGTTTACTTGATCCTAATTGTATACCTCAAATTGTATTCAATGATAATTGATTCCAATTTATTATTATTGAAAATTATTTCATCCATATATTACTTTATTCAATCATTATCATCTTATGCATCATTCCGATCAACATCGACGACGACAACGACAATATCGTCGTCCTTCTCCTCCTCATCCTCCTCTTCATCGTCATCTTTCTCATTTACTTATTCATTATATATTCTATTTTATTTATTGAATAGATTTCTATTTCAATATCAATATGTCGATGCAGTACAAGGATGTAGTATCTTTTATCAATTAGATTTTAAATGGAAAAAAGCATTATGTGATTCTGAATTAAATAAACTTCAAGAAATTCCATTTGATTTACCAATAAATTTAATTGAATTACGTATTATTCATCAATCAATTAAAAAAATTAAAAAAAATTCATCATTATATTCATTAATTCATTTAGAATTATTACATATTGAATCAAGTGAATTAAAATATATTGAATCGGATACATTTAAACAATTAATTTCATTAAAATCAATTAATTTACGTAATAATTCATTAAGATTATGTAATCATTATCACTATGGTGATGAATGTTTCCCTAGTGATATATTTCATAATTTACCTAATTTAATCTCATTAAATTTAGCTGAAAATTTTATTGATTTTATACCAGATTCATTTTTCAATGGATTACAACATTATAATTTAAAATTAAAATATTTATGGTTAAATTCAATGAAATCAATAAATGGTATAAAATTTGAATCGAATCATTTTATGAAACCATTAATACAATTACGTTTATTAGATTTAAGTTATACAGGTTTATATGAATTAGATTCATTGAATCAAATAGCATTGAATAAAATGATTTATTTAAATGAATTTTATTTAGGTGGTAATCCATGGTTATGTGATTGTAAATTAAATTGGTTAAAATTATGGTTTTTAAATCGATTATCAACCACTTCGTCAGTAATATCAAGCTCTTCATCAGCAACAACATCAACATCATCATCAAATAAGATTCAATATCAACAAAATAAAACGAATTCCAATGGTCATATTGAATTGATTGAACCAATTTGTTATAAACCAGATCAATTAAAAGGTAAATTGATATTAACCAATAATCAATTGAATTCATTACAATTTCATGAATTATATTGTATCCCGCAAATATTTACATTGAATCAAAATCTTACCTTTTATTATCATCAACAAATGTTATTAACATGTGAATATTATACTACTAATATAAATGATTTATTATGGTATAAAAATAATCAACAATTATTTAAACAAAATACAACACATTATTCTATTAGTTATGGTCAATTAGGCGCGAATTTTTATTCAAATTTATTAATCCCCTTGACAACGGAACAAGATACTGGATTATGGAGTTGTGTATTAAACAATCAATATCGTACATTATTTCATGTTACTATATTAAATTCTAATGGTGAAATACTTTACCCTAACAACAATGATAATGACAATGAGAATAAGGATTCATTTCTATATAAAGTATTTACATTATTTGGTAATAATAATAATAATAATCAAATCAATCATTGGATATATGGTAGTATTATAATCATCATATTATTTGTTATTTTAATATTGATTAGTATAGGAATATTTTGTTGTTATCATTCACAATCATCAAGATTAACTAATAGATCTATAGATGAAATCAATATGAAGAATTGTATATCGATGAATAAATCAAGATCTATATGTAGACGTCGATTGAAATGTATCAATGACAGTCACCATCATCATCATCATCATCATAGTAACAATAAAAAGATCAAAGATGATTCAATAAGTAGTCTATTAGTAACAACAAATGATGAACAAAAAATCATTGATAAAAATGAATTACAATTAACAAACCATATGAAAGAGGATACAATTGTAACTTCTACCACAATCATAACAACGACTACTATACCCAATTCAAATATCCATGTAAATCATGTAGAGAATAATGATATATTATCAAGTAGAAATATAGATGAGAATCGTTTATTAAATATATTTTGTTGTCCTACAAATTCAACACGTGATGTTCAATTAGTAACTATACCTACAACTAGTTCTTCATCAACTAATGTTACATGTTTAGATGGATCATTTCTACAAGGAACAGTTGTTACTGATGAAAATCATGTACTAGTATCTTGTGATAGTCCAGAACCAAAATTATTCATTGCTACAAATGGAATTACACCTTCTTCTAATATTTCTACATTAGATTTTTCTAATTGCTTACAACAACAACAACAACCATTGAATGTTATACCTCAACCAAGTTGTACTGGATGGGATACTAGTGGTAGTTATTCATCCCCACAATTCCCTGGAATTTATACATCTAGTCAAATAACTATTGAAACATCAAAACCGTGTCCAGTACATGGAATTATGAATTTGAAACCGATGGAAATTAATTGTGATATAACTACCAATACTACTATTGATAGTAATCATGCAAATGTTAAACAATTGTCAAATTATAAAAAAATCGATTCACTGTATTGGGATCATTCTAATAGTTCAGCAATTTTAACTAATCCTCACTTATCCTATAACTTATCAAATTGTGTATTTTTAGATTCTCAAAATTATGGTACTATTACCAATGGTAGTAATAGAAATAGTGATCCTCAAAAGAATGAAATAGAAGTTATGCAAAATTATTCAAAAACTTTATCCTCATATCATAATATCAAGGATTATAGTTTATTACAAAAAGCTAAGTTAAACGAATCTAATATACAATGGCCTACTGATTCACGATCTCAAGGAACCTGTCCAGTGCATGGAAATCAGACTTTAACACGAAGAAATGATCAATTAAAACACACTGACAAGGAAGATGTTACATTAGGGAATCGCAAAAATTTAAAAAGAAATCATCGAAGTAAATCTATCATTCGTGAACAATCCAATTATCTCATAGATCAATGTCACCATGGAACGGTAGATAATCAAGAAGCATCGATTTCCTCTTCTAATGAAACAAATGATAATGAAGAAACCAATATTCAGTTAAACAGTGTTCATAATGACGGCTTATCAATAACTTCTATCAAGCCAAAACAAATCATTTACACATCAAATGAGGAAACAGAATCTCAAGGTGAAAGTTCTCTTTCTGAAAAATCGTTACATAGTGATCATTCATGTACATCTTCAGTTTCATCTTCGACAAATTCAACTTCCTCAATAAATCAACATTTCAAATATATTTATCCATCAAATCAAACAGGACTTAATTCAATCTGTTCATCCTTATCAAATCAAATCAATTTAGCAGCGGCGGCTGCTGCTGCTTCAACTAATACTACTACTGATCTAGTACAACAACAATCTCCACCTTCATTAGAGTTTTGTCCTTCTCCAGAATTATTAAGAAATCGACCGAATAGTACAAATAGTTATTCACTTCATCGAAATCATTATGATATATTGAATAATTTGAAATGTCCTGTACATTCCTTAACAATAAACCGTAGATCATTACCACATAAACTATTCTATGATGCTTATAATCACCGTGAAAATATGCGTCAACATAATTATGATCATAATAATAACATAGGTATACTTCGAGTTACTACCTTACCAACACGATTCAGGAAAGTCAGTTATAATATTAATGATAATAATAATAATAATCGTAGTAGTAGTAGTAGTAGTGGTAGTAGCAGTACTACTAATGATAATAACAATAGTAGTATAATTAATCATATGGCTTCCATTAGAAAATTCGCTAGTCAACATACTATTCAATCAAATTATTCATCATCTTTATGTTTATCTACTACACAAAGTTTAGATAAATTTAATAAATCTTTACAAAAATCTATTCTACGTCCCGGTTCTAAACATAAATTAGATACAGAAAGTGATTCCGATAATAATAATAATAATAATAATAATAATAATACATCAGAAGAAAATAATTTTTAATTTTATTGATTGTTATTGATTATTATTTAATATGTACAAAGAAAAAATGTATTAGTATCCGGGGTGGGGGAAATTTCCGTATATATATATACATATATATAGGGGATTTCCCCCCCGGATACTAATATATATATATATATATATATATATATATATATATATATATATATATGTAAATGTTTATGATGTAATTAATAATTGTCTTTTTTAAAAAAAATTTGCCGCCACATTTTAAATTTCATTCATTATTATGTACTTATTATTGTATTTAAACAAGGGGGGATATTGATTTTTTTGTTTTTCTTCTTGTCAACATTAGATTAGATTAATTTTCATAATATTCTTTCTAAATAATAATAATAATAATAATAATGATAATAATAATAATAATAGTAATGTATTGACATGTGAACAGTCCATACTACTTTTATTGCAAATCAGTAAACAACGATTAATAAAGAAGTTATTTATTAAATAAACAATTCTATAATTAGTAACTATGTAAACACTTAAAACTATTTTAATGAAATCATGTACATACATTTTGTTTTTCTTTCTTTTATTCTCTCTTTTATGTTTGATTAAAAAAGAAAGAAAAGAAAAAGAAATGAAAATATACATTTTGGAGAATGTTTTTTTTTTCTTGTTTTTCTCTCTCTTGATTTCGATTGAAATTGTTATTCATTTTCAATTTGGAAAAGATAGTATTATAACTTGTGAACCTGTGTGCTCTGTTTATTGTATAACGCAATGATACCGCCAATCAGAGAGCAGCGAATTATCGATCGGACCAATGATGCATAATACTCGTACGAGTAGTCTGGAGTCCTTATTGGTACTGCTTCCCGCCTAGACCTGTCTGTTAAGTCCAGGACACCAATCTCAACCTCTGTGATATGAATCATTTAGTTCAAACATACGGGGTTTATATACCAATCAAACAGATTACAACTTACCATAAAATAGAAAATAACATTTATACAATATTTGGCCAAAAATGGCTGTGAATGTGGGAGGTAGTAATTAATAGACAGGGCATAATTCAAGAATGGTAGATCTTATAATAATAGTTCATAGGTCAAAATAAAACTCATAATACGAGGGACATGAATATGAACGATTTAGTTATTTAACAATTACACGATAAAAATATACGCATAGTACTGGTCCATAAACGGATCCCAAAAATTATCTTTCATTATTCTTATCGGGATATAACAGATAGGAGGTTCGATGGTCTGTATTAGTCTTGGAAATGATGATCTGTCAGTTGATCCAGCTTTCTTTTGAAGAAGTTGACAGATGGAGCTTCAATCACGTGTTGAATTAATGAATTCCATCCGTTGATGATTCGATGAGAAAGTTGATAGTCAGTTGACAAGTAATTTGTTCTGGGCTTGCGAACTATTTTTGAAGTATCTTCGTAAATTCTCTGTTTTGGAAGACAAGAAAAATGAGGACATATTAGGTGTAAATTTATTACTAAGTAATTTGAAAACTGTAATCAAGTCACCTCCAGTTCTTTGATACGATAACGGGAATAGGTTTAGTTTAGCCAATTGAGCATCATATGGGACCTTCGCTTTTCCGGGAATCAGCTTAGTTGGTGTTCTCTGCACCTTTTTCAAAAGCTCACTGTCTTTTTTTAAGCAGAGCCTAGCAGCTTGTATGCAGTACTCAAGTTTAGGACATACGAACGCTGTATGCAAAGTCAAAAACGTTCTAGCATCGACATGACTAAAGGCCCTACGTATTGACCGTAAAGTTTTAAAACTTTTGGCGGCTATTGCACGGCTAGTGCAGTAGTCTTTAAGTCTTGGCTAACGATGACTCCTAAATCATTGTGTGTCTGGACAACAGGTAGCCCAGTGTCATTAATCATGTATGTATCTGTACCTTGATGACCGATATGCATCACAGTACACTTGGAAGTATTAATCGGTAACTGCCAGGTTTGAGACCACTCAGATAATTTCTCCACGTCATTTTGAAGTTCTAAGCTATCACTCTTACTTCGTATCGCTCTCCATATCTTGACATCGTCAGCATATAGCAAGACATGATGATGATGATCATAGGAGACGAGGAAGGTTGTTTACATACAGGAGGAATAACAACGGCCCCAAAACTGTACCCTGAGGTACTCCACTAAGTGCAGTTTCCCAGCTAGACAACTTGGAGTTCACCGCTGCTTTTTGTTGGCTCTCAACTAAGAAGTTTTAGTTTAGGTTGATTTGAATAGATTTTGTTTTATCAATTTTTTGTTTTTCATTTAGGGGAAAAAAGTTATCATAACTTAATTGTGGTAACAATTTTGTGGGAGGAAATGTTTTTCTTTTTTTCCAATTTTCTAAATCAATCTAAAGTTGATTCAGTTTGAAATGAAAGGAATGGTTAACAATAATTTAATGAAGTCAGCGATCGTTAGTATAGGGGTTGTGGTAGTCTAACTTCGATTGATTTATGATCTTAATGAAATTCAATAATCTCCACATTTATATTTTGCTCACCAGTGACTGACTTGAGAGGCAATTTCTAGAGTTCTTGTTATAATCCATGACCAGTGTAGTTAAACTATGTCAGATATGAGCCAGTTATCTATCGAAGACAGTACAAGATGGTTATACAATGTTATGGATTTATCGAGGTTAAAAACCACTACATGCCAGTTCAGTGGTTGAAATTACAATCATCATTTAGATGAAAAAGAGTTATTCAGAGTAGAAATGATCAGTATCAGAAGAAACTAAAATGGGAGGGGGAAAATTGCTCCTCAGGTGTTTTCATTTGATAGTGTTGTGTTGAAAAATATTAAACACTGATTGCGTTTACATGAAACTTACTTACTTACACCCGTTAGCCCTCGTTGAGGAGAATAGGACACTCACTAACAGTATCCAACTCTGTCCAGAACAATCCTTTCCACGTGTTTACAGTTACTATTCATCCTATTCGTGTCTATTTACCATTCTCGACATCACGTGTTCTTTGATCTTCCACTTTTCCGTTACGTTTCATAATTCAAAGTTAGTGTTCACCTCGTGATGTAGTTTGATGATTTCCTCAATATGTATCCTATCCACCTCCATCGTCTTTCCCTAATTTCCTATTCAGCTGGAATCTGGTTTGTTCTCTCCCATAGTAAACTGTTGCTGCTCCTATCCGGTCAACAGACATTGAGTGTAATGAGTAGAAAACTATTTATAAATAATTGTACCTTCTTGATTATGGTTATAATAGCTCTGCAATTTTCAGATCCGTATAAAAGAACTGTCTTGATGTTCGTATTGAAGATTATGACTTTGATATTGGTTGACAGATAGTTGTTTTGAGTTCCATATGTTCTTCGATTGTAGGAATGCTCTCCTTACTTTGCCAATCCTCACTTTCACGTCTGCATTTGATCCTCCTCCATCCCAGATACGTGAAGGATTCCACATCTTCCAGAGTTTCTCCATTTCATCCCGAACACCTAAACTAGGATCTAGATATATCAATGTTAGGAACTTCACTCTTAGCCTAACCTGCAGCTTTTCTAAAGTTACTGCTTATATCAAAACCAAATAAAGGAGGAGAGTTTGGCATGAGTTAAGCGACCCCATCCCTTAGAAAACTAAAATACTAACCAGAAAATATAATTCAACCAATCAGTGATCCTTTGTTTTTCAAAAAAAAATGTCAGTCATATTTACCCTATTTGAATGATTAGTCAATTTGTTTGGTATAATTAATTCCTTTTAAATTAAAACAACATAGATAGTCTACCATTTACTTCCTTACCATTAACTTACCTACATTTTACAATTTATATGTTTAATTATTATGATTAAATAAATATCCTAAGGCCATATAACTCTATGGTGTTTAATAGTCATGGGGATTAATTTTCTTTTTAAAAATCATTATGAAAACAAAAAAACAAAACAAACTATCCTATCAATGCTGGAATCCGATTCGTTTATTGATTGATTATTGATTAATATTCTAAATGTTCTAGAAAAACCCACCTCCAAGTGGATTTGAAGATAGAAGGTTACTTGTGAGAGATATTTTACTCTTGAAGAAAGTTATGGTATTAGAAAAGGATTAGTTTATTTTCAATATTTTAAGTTATATATAATGTAACTAGGTAATTATTGATTGCATATGTGTCATGCAAATCAATTGATTTGTGTATGGGCTATTATACTGCTCGAGTGCTCAAACTGAAACAAGTGGTCACATTCGGAGCCTTTAACCTTAAAGTCTAATCCACAAGGCAGTGAAGCAACGTCAGAAGATTCAGTCTTATGGTAGCCGGTGACCAAAAATTGGTTCATACACCATTTGTTCTTTTAGGATTCTGGTAGCCTATGTTTACCATTGGTTTGAAATTAGGATTTTACAAGTCCTCTAAGTGGACTCAACGTATCCACAAACTCGGTAAAACAGCCGAACATTCGCTTTTCATCCTCTTAATTTTGTAAATAACACTTGTGACGCGAGAAGGCAGTGAGTAAGACTTTCCTTACAGTGGTTGTATACATGTGGCCATATGAGAGCATTTCTAATGGGAAAGATAACTCTTCCCATTCTTGACCGTACCAAGACATTTGGGGGCATTGGTTAGAATAGTCAATATTTTAAAATCGGACTAAGTGCGTTTTAAATTTCTATGTTTATTGTACCCTTTTCCATGTTAACAAATGGGTATTTACAAATATGAGAGAATTGATGCTTCAATTTATTTTTAAGAAAAACTATGATAATATCAACCTGTGAACAAGTTTATCTTCAACATAAATCACTGTGCAATGAATCTGAATGATCCAAGTGTACAACATTCTTAAAGTCTACAAATGTATTTAACTAATAAGTACCATTAATTATGGAATTCACGCTGAGAGCTTCAGATATATTATCGACTAATCAATGCCATAATATAATGTTCACAATATATATATATATATATTAATGAATAACAATATTATACATTAGATAATGCAGCAACCTCTGCATCAGTAAGCCTCAACATACACAAGGGGAAAACCAAGGTCCTCAAATTTAAAACAGAGAACAGCAATCCACTCACTCTTGATGGTGAAAGTCTGGAAGATGTAGAATCCTTCACATACCTGGGAAGCATCATCGATGAACAAGGAGGTTCAGATACAGACGTAAAGGCGAGGATATGAAAAGAAAAGGTAGCATTCCTACAATTGATGAACATATGGAACTCAAAACAACTGTCTGTCAACCAATATCAAAGTCACAATCTTCAATAAGAATGTCGAGGCAGTTCAACTGTATGGAGCTGAAACTTGCAGAACTACAACAACCACCATCAAGAAGGTACAAGTATTTATAGATGATTGTCTACGCAAGATACTCAACATCCATTGGCCGGATACCATCAGCAATAGCCTTCTGTGTGAGAGAACAAACCAACTTCCAGCTGAATAGGAAATTAGGAAAAGACGATGGAAATGGATAGGACATACATTACGCAAATCATCAAACTGCATCACGAGGCAAGACCTGGCTTGGAATCGTGAATAGAAGCGGAAAATAGGAAGGCCAAAGAACACATTACTTTGGGAAATAGAGGCAGATATGAAAAGGATGAATAAGAACTGGAATGAGCTAGAAAGGA